TAATGAATTTTATATGAAATGAAAGCTCGTCAAAAATGGGGTTTATTGATACTAAATAGTGAGGGTTATAAAAACTTTTTGATGTCTAACTTAAGAAATTTACACTTTTTTTTGGGATGGAAATTGTAGTTATTTAAAGTATCTATAGCTATTTAAGTTTTTGCATAGCTTTTTAAGTATTTGCCTAGCTATTAGCTACTTGCATGGCTATTTAAGTATTTACATAGATATTTAAGTATTTGCATAGCTATTTAAATCTTCTATAGGTATTTAAAAAATTCTGTGCTGTCTATTAAACATTGGATATTTGTAAATATCAGCATGAGTAGCTGTGAAATCGAAACAGTATTTAATGATTGCTAATAGTATTATATAAATTGATATTGCTATTAAACTGACAACGAACGATTTTTTCAACATTACTTATCTTTTTGAGCAAGTGGATGTGGGTGTGGGTGCAGATAGAAGGAATACTTACACCCAAACCCCACACTCACCCATCCACCCAGCCACACCCACACCCACACCCTAGGTCAAAAATTGGTCGGGGACGGAAAGGCCTTTTTTTTCTTTGAATCACATTCTTATGCAAAACAAACCTTATATTCGTGATCAACATCGTCGATAACCTATATCTAGATCAAATTGCGATAAAAAACAGAAAAAAAAAATTTTTCTGAGGGGGACCAAGGTAAAATTTTTTTACAAAAAAAATATAAGCTTTATTCAGAATTTAATGCTGATTCCAACCATGTAATTTTTTTCAAAAAATGTTCTGGTCAAAAAATTGCCTTACCGCCACTTGTTCTTTAGCATATGAGATAACATTAGTTATTTCCATCTATCATTATCTATATATGCTACATCTCTATTTTATATTATCGAAATGCGTAAAACTTGAATTGTAGACAATAGATCAATAATCAGATTTTCAAATTGATAAAAACTGATGTCATCTAGTTCAAGAGAAACGTACGTCAAATGATTTAATGCAGGTACACGTATTTTTATCCGCAGTGACCAATATTTTTGTTGTAACTGAATAGAACAACGACGAAGTTGAGGACATTTGGTATTAAACTATTCAGTTCATTCAAGCGTATGACATTGCTGATTGTTAAATCCTATATCGAATTGTAATCATTAGTAACTGGCGATAGTGGATTATCATTATAAGTGTATCCTTATAAGGACAATTTGCAATATTTTAATGCACGTAGACAAAATATTTAATGATAGATAGCATTTTCAACAGAAATAATAATTAATGAAAAGAGAAACGGCAGAGGAATTAATTGAAGAAGAAGTTTTTCCAGATATTTTGATTTAATATTATCGAGAATAAATCTTGCAAGTTGGAGAAATACTCATAGTATTCGAATTAGTGAAGACACATAATCGTAAATGAATAGATTTGATAAACGAAGTAAATTAATTTGATTGATGTTGATCATAATAACGACTGTACCGTATCATTGATAAGCTGATTTAGACGATAGATAAAAAATATTAATTTTAATCGGCAGAGTTGAATTAGCAAGGAGATTATAAGTTTTGTATGAATATTGAAAAAAGCTTCATATTCATGAAAATGGTCAAGATATTTAAATACTTCATACATAAAGTCATTAGAAATATCTTCAAAACATGTGATAGTTTCTTTTGATAAACTATAAAAAGTAAATTCAATTTAAGAAATAGATTTCAGTTACTCATCAATTGTAACGTTTACTTCGAATCTTCTTTTTCTCGCTGTCATCACAAATATAAAAAATGACTTCATTGATGTTTAATTTGTTCTTTATAGGGATCTAGAATTCTGAAATAAATATAAAATTGAATAAGAAAACTATTCATTGCTAATAGCATGGACAAGAAAAAGAATATGAACGAACTATACTGATGATTTTTTTTTTGAAATTTCCGAGAAAATTCAGTATTCATAAACGAAAAACACTGAGGTAATTACAGCGATTAGACCTTTTATTGATATATGGCTATGAAGCAGGCTAATCAAAATTTTGTTGATTTTTCATCGTATAGTGCACGCTTGTATTACCTTGAGCGAAAATAAACAGAAAGGAAGAAACTGGATGAAGATAAAAATGAAGAAAAACGTGTAGTATTAAAGAATAGTAGTAGAATAATGTTGTATTTTATTTTTGATGCGTAATATAGGTCGGTAACAAAGTTGGAATTTTCTCTCAACGTATAAAAAAGAATATAGAAACCATTTTCTAAAACCTACATGATTTATATTTATCAATAAATACAATAAAAAACTTCAATTAATTTTATTCTCCTTATTACGAATCGTATATTTTCCTCGAGTCGTTCAAGAGTTCACGTAATTTTAATCTTTTACTATGATGTATTATGATTTTTTCCATATATACTTGCGAAATTTTATAAATTGCACTCGAACACGCAAGCACAATTCTAATTCTTCATTATGAGAATGAGTGTGAGTGTAGGTTAAGGTGAGACTGAATTATAAATTATAATATGAATAAAACGTTATCCTTTGCTTTTGCTGAACGGGTTCTAGTGTGACTTTGAAATTTTCATTTATTTTCGAGCTCAATTTAAGTAGTAGCTATAAACTTGAAAACTGTTGTGTATTCTATAATCTTGATATCTGTTTTTATTTCACTATTTTTCTCATTGGAGAAGGAAAATAATTGAAAAGAATGACAAACATGGTGGGCTAATTTCAGCAAATCGAATTAAAGGATGAAAAATTGATTTTATCATACTTTGCTTTTCTCTATCCATTTGTTGATCTTGTTTTTTTTTTACAAATTATGAATGATTGATGTATTTGTTTTCGCGACTAATGCATAACAAGAGGAAGTGATGGTGCAAATGCCGCAGGTAAACATTTTTTTCCGTCTCTTGCTTTTTCGTCCTATAAAAACCATAATTAATATCAGATAGAAAAAAGAAAAATCTGACGGATTTTTTTTTACTATGGTCATGCTTGATTACTTCATTAAATGAATAGAAAAATAATAAATAGGTATTTCATAAATCATTTTTTCTCGCACTTTATTTTTATTGCCATTAATCAGTCGGAAGAAAACCTAGTAGTGAGTGTTTTTCAATAATTTTTCATCAATCATTCCTTCATTTTTCGGTCTTATTATTTTTTCGTTTTTATTCAAAGATATTGTCTGCCACTAGAATTCAATATCACGAATATGTAAGTAAATACCTTGTTGGCGACATGAAAATTTAGATTCATAATTTTTGTATCTATTTTGTGATATAGAGAATAACAAAGTCTTTTTAAACATCCATCAAATACATACCATATTGTCATGTATCGATCGATCAATCAACAAGCCACAGTCATACGGCGAACTGTAGAGTAGGTCAATGTTCTTTATTTCTTTTTTAAGAGACGAATGAAAATGAAAAAAAGTCAAGTTCAATAGTAATGAAAAGAGAACAAATGTTTTAATATTGTAAATTTCCGCTCGTAATAGAAGCACCGAGAACTTCAATTTGATTTTCGGAATTTTGGTCAAGTGACTCTGAGAAAAATTGAAACTTTCGATAGAGAGAGGCTTCCATAATTGTGAAGGATTTAAAGCACGAAGAGCCAAAATTTCTAAAGATCATTAAATCAGGTCATATTCTTCAAGAAGATTTTTAAAGCAATTTAAAGTTTGAAATTTATGTGTTTCTCATGTGAATTAATAAATGTTATGCTTATTGCATTGTGTGGTGATTTTTTTCTTAATAATAAAACTCTATTTTGTCCTAATTCATCTTAAACTATAATCAAATTCCTAAAAAAGTGCGCTTCGTACTATTACAAGGCAAAATTTTGCGCTTTCATCAATCGAGCTTCGATTTACAAGATAAAAATCTCGTATTTTTTGAGGGGTGAACCATTTAATTAGTCTAACGACGTATTTTGTAAGTAAATGCCTAATTAGTAACAACAAAAAGTGAAAGCTTACCTGTTACATGTGGGTGTGGTCATGGAGTGTCGATGTGAAACTCTCTTTATCTATTCATATCCACACTATTATCTGAAGTGAAATAATAGCAATTTTCACATCAATATTTGAAAAAATGTAAGAATTATACATTGATATTTAAGCATCTCAGATAGTGATCTGTTCTCATCCGTGAAAGAGTATCCATTGAAGTAATATGTAACAACCTATCTGCAAAAAAAGACTCTTGAAAGCATACAAAATATATTTAGGTGACTTTCTGCTCATGGACGATATTTTCTATTATGACGCATTAGCAAATGACAGGTCCCAAAGAAGAAATACAAACAAAAAAAGCCCTAGCTGTTGGTCACTGCATTCAACTGAAATGGCTAAAGAAGATAGTTGCTAATTATAAACCGGATTTAAATCAATGAATAAATTTTTCTCGCGATAAGAGAGTAGCGGCTCGTTCTTTCTTACTATTCCTCTAATAAAACCAAATCATTCCACTTACATGCTATTTCTGTTTCTTATCTCTTTTATTCTGCTTTTGATTCGTTTATCATTGTGAGTATGCTGAAACGTAACAAATAGATAAAAGTATACTCACAAAAACAAAAAATATCAATAAATATAATTTAAATCATTGCTTTGTCTTGAATTAATTTTAGTTTATCAAAACTACAAACAATAACAGTACATGAATTAAAACAAATTTTTGATGATTTCAATCAATTTTCATCATTATTCGACTTTATTAGTCATTTAATTAATATTCTTGATATATTGAAAAATATTGATGTGATCATTTTGACACATCCATTGATTATTAATCATAAATTTTATTCTCTACTTATCGATTTATTGGAACATATATGTAATAAATGGCATAAAAGATATTATCTTCCTGAAATAGAATCATTTTTATTTTGTCATATAATTGAAATTCTTTTCAAAATAGAAATACATTCAGAAAAATTAATTTCACCAATTAAAATATGTTTGAAAGATATTGCAAAACATGGAAAACATTTATATGATAAAAACAACATGAAATATTTCTCAAAATTAGTTAGTCTTTATATACAAAATCAAAAAATTATAAATGCAATTGTAAAATGTTTGTGTTCAAAATATTATGTTAAAATGTTCGAACGAATAGGAAGTGACGAATTTCTCTTAATATCATGTCCAATGTACTGGATCGCTTACACAGGTATGATAAAGAGTTCCGACAACATTTGGAAGTTAACTGACTACTGTCTATTTAGGTTCAGATAAAGAAGAGACAGCTAATATATTATTAAATGCGCTATTACCATCTTCAATTCGTTTATTACAATTAAAACCTTCAAAACATGTTACTCATTTACTTGATTTATTAAATCATAGTTTTGCATTATGTAGTTCAACAATATTTACAAATAATAATCTACTAGTTCCAATAACATATACTTTATTGTCGATAATAAGTGATCAATCAATTTCCGAAGAAAGTCAATCGATGATTAAAAGCATTCTTCGCCTTTTGTTAACTTTGATTAATAATAATCAAATGATTTTCCAATGTGTTCAACAACGTCAAGAATTGTTTCAGAATTTAATTGGTTTAGAAGACGAAGCTTATATAATATTAGTGTCAATAATGAATGATTCAGAAATTAAATCTATGATCAACAGTAACGAAACTTTTGCTTTGTGCGTGCAAAAATATATTGAACAACAGAACGATACAAATCATTTCTTAACAGCAAGATTAAAATGTAAGTTAAGTTTTATAGTATTTTCGGTAGAATAAGAGTGTATCGATGTGGCGTGAGTCATTGGTATATTCTCAAGAGCGTTTTGTTCACATACCTACTTACATTCACATCCATAAAATGATAAGAAATTTTGAAAATACATTTACTCGGTGCAATCACAGTTTCCGTTTGAGTACTTCCTCGTTCATTCAGAAAGCATTAACACTAGCTACTTGCATGATAAAAGCTGCTTGACGATACTTGAGAAGGCAAATTTTGGATGTGGAAAATAGCCAAGAAGTTTTCTCATAACATTTTTTACATATCCCATTTATAAAACATCGTTGTTATCTACAAAAGAACATCAAAATACTGTGGAAATTTTTTTTTGTTTCTTAAATTAAAAACCTGCTTTTTCTAGTGCCTTCACGTAGCTAGTTCTAGTGTTTTCTTAATAGACATAGAAGTGCTCAAACGACACCTGCGATTAGGTCGATTAAACGCATTCTTCGAAGATTCTTGTCTTTGTGAGGATGCAAATGTGGATACATGTATATGTCGGTGAGAGTTCAGAGAATATCTACATTCAAACTGAGACCTGTATCCACATTCTTTCAAGTTCATCGTTTTCTGAATAAAATCTTATTTTATAACATGTCAGTAAACATGAAATCTGTATACAGGCATAAATGAAGACAGAAAATAGTCGTTCGTTTTTTTGAAAAATTCCAATAAAATGATAATAATTCATAAAGAGTAGCCGAAGGGAATGGTATATTTTCTAATTTCTGAATATAATATTACGTTCGGGATCTGAAAATATTTTCTAGTTTACTACGTATAAATTTATTTGAATATAAGCATTTTACTGAATATGAAAAATCTACAAGACTTTATTCTACTAATACCTTTCTCAATGGAATAGTATGGACCAAAAAAAACGCAAATCTTATATAATTCATTCTTTCTCATCTAATGCCAAACATAAAGAAAATTTTTCAGTAAACATAGACACCAGTCTAATATTAGAATTAATCAATGATTTTTCTTATCTTTTTATAGTTATACTAGCATCACCAGTAAATGCAGAAGAAACGACAGTTCCACGTATACCTCCTACTACACTTTTATTTCAATCGATCTTTACATCAAATGAAAATGAAAATAAAGAAGGAATAACGTTAATGTGGTATGATAAGAACATCGGTATACGTGATGATACAAAAAAAACTATTGAGTTACTTCAAAAAGTTAACGATTATGTTTTAATTTGTTCAAATCGTCAAACATGTATTGAATATATTGATCAAATTAAAACAGAAAAAGTTTTTCTTATTCTATCTGGTATAACTGCACAAGATATTCTTGATGAAATACATGATCATCAACAAATTGATTCAATTTATATTTTTTGTATGGAACCTGAAAAGTATGAAATATATTTAAATAATAATATTTATTCTAAAGTTAATGGAATTTATACAAAATATGAACCATTATTAACTGCTTTACAAGAAAATATTCGTTATTCAATGAAACAATCTGAAGCAATTAGTTTATTTGATCAAGATGAACGTTCGATGCGAAATTTAAATGAAGAAATCCATACATTTAAATATTTTCGTGTATTCAAACAAGTTCTCTTAAAAACAGAATATAACAATGATAAAGCAAAAAATGATATGATCGAAATATGTCGAAATTATTATCGAAAAAATAAAAAAGAATTATCAGATATTGATAAATTTGAACAAACATATAAATCAGAAGATGCTATTCGTTGGTATACAAAACAAACATTTGTTTATCGCTTGGTTAACAAAGCATTGCGAACAGAAGATTATGAAGCTATGATAATACTTCGATTTTTTATTGTTAATTTATCTGAAAATCTTCAACAAGAATATGAGGATTACAAAAAAAAACAAAATAAACGTTCACGTGTTCTTATATTATATCGTGGATTAAAATTACCTTTTGCAGAAGTCTATTCACTTAAGCATAACATTGGCAAAACTATTGCAACTAATGGATTTCTATCCACTACTAGATCAAAAGATGTTGCTTATAGATTTGCTAAAAAAGGTATAAAACGCACCGATGTTGAAACAGTTATCCTCGAGATTGAAATTGATTTTAAAAAATTAACAGTACCATTCATTGATATTGCTCAATATAGTGATTTTCCAAAAGAACAAGAAATTCTTTTCGATCTAGGTGCATCGTTTATTATAAAATCGGCGGATTATGATACTGATCAAAAGATATGGCTTGTTAAATTATCAGTTGTGTCAGAAGAAACAATGAGCAAGTATACACAAGTATTACTTGAAGAATACAAGTCAGAAACAGATATGAACATATTACTTGGTAAACTACTCTATAAAATGGAAAAATATGAGATTTGTCGAAGGGTTTTTGAAAAGCTATTAAATTTCTATGGAAGTGAAGAATATGAAAAATTAGCTACAATTTATAATTTTATTGTAGAATCATATGCATATGAAAATGATTATGATAAAGCTATTGTTAATTATACAAAAGCTTATAATTATTACATCAAATTAAGACAATTTCAAGATGCTGCCATAGTAACAAACTACATTGGTGCTGCATATTTTAATAAAAATGACAAAGAAAATGCGCGATTTTATTGTACTAAATCACAGGATATGTGGAAGGAATTGCCAACTTACACACCAGAATATATTCATTGTGAAATTGGTTATATGCTGAATTTATGTGGTTGTTTAGAAGATGATAATCAAATTGCATGTGATTATTTTTTGAAAGCTTTGAAGATATACGAGAATCCATCTAAAATGTGCAATCATATTCAACATGATCATCGGATTGCAGAAATCTGTGAAAATTTAGCATATCGATATAATCAAGACAATGATAATGATAAAGCATTAGAATATATTATGAAAAGTGTGAATATACGAAAAAAAAATATTTCATCGCTGCAAAAACGTAAAAACTATATATCATGCTTAGAAATACTAAGACAAATCTGTGGAAAAATTCATACAAATGTTTGGTCAGAATATGCGGATCAATTTCGGAAATTATCCGATACCGAAGATATTGACCTACTTTCTCGCTACAAACAAGCACTTGATACGCCAGACAATATACGAAGATCACATTTTAAACACAATTATAATATTAGTGAATCAAGTAAGTTTTTAGAATATTCATTAAAAACATTGAAATTCATTTCAAACACAAATCCCACAAATTACGAGAACATTATTCAAGCACATATTGATATTGCACACGCTTATGCAAATACAAAAGATTATCATTGGTCACGTCAACATTGCGAAAAAGCTGTAGAAATATATCAAACAAATGCCCTTAATAATCCAAAACTTATGTCAACAATTTTTGAGTTGTTATCCAATACATACTTGCATTACAATAATTTTGACGAGGCATTTAATTTGCGAATGAACGCATTAACCACTGATAACACTACACATCATTTAGCGCCAAGAGAAAAAGAAGCACAATGTTATTTCGATCTTGGTTACGAACTTTTAGGTACGAATCCTGATAAAGCACTTGAATTTACCAATAAATCATTAGAAATTCGAATACAAATTTTACCAGAAGATCATGTTGCAATCGGCTTTTGTTATCAAGATATTGGTACTGCTTACGAAAACAAATCTATGTTGGATGAAGCAATAAAGCATTACAAAGAGGCAATCGAAATACATGAAAAACATTTATTTGATGAGGAAGAATATCAGTTCAATGTAAGAGAGGCTTACGGACGATGTCATTCTAATATTGCTGGAATTTATACAAAGCAAGGTGGTTATGATAGTGCATTTAATTTCAAAATGAAAGCATTAACTATTGACAAAAAGACATGTCATTTAACAGAAAAAGAAAAAGAAGCACAATGTTATTTTGATCTGGGTGACGAATTGTGTCTTACACAACCTGATAAAGCACTGGAATTTAGTAAAAGATCATTAGAAATTCGACTAGAAATTTTACCAGAAGATCATGCCACTATTGGATTTTGTCATCAAGATATTGGTGCTGCTTACGAAAGTAAAACTATGTTTGATGAAGCAACAGAACATTACAAGAAGGCAATCGAAATATATGAAAAGCGTTTATTTGATGAGGAACAATATCAATTCAATGTAATAGAACTTTACGGCAGATGTCATTCCAATATTGCTGGAATTTATACAAAACAAGATGATTATGATAGTGCATTAAATTTCAACATACAAGCATTAAGCATTGACGAAAAGACATGTCATTTAACAGAGAAAGAAAAAGAAACACAATGTTATTTTGATCTGGGTGCCGAATTGTGTCTTACACAGCCTGATAAAGCACTTGAATTTATCAATAAATCATTAGAAATTCGACTAGAAATTTTACCAGAAGATCATGTCACAATTGGCTTTGATCATTGTACTATAGGTATTGCTTACCAGAACAAATCTATGTTGGATGAAGCAATAGAACATTACAAGAAGACAATTTTGATATGTGAAAAACATCTACTTGATGAAGAAGAATATCAGTTCAAGGTAACAGAAGTTCACAGACTATGCCATTCTGCTATTGCTGGAATTTATACAGTGCAAGATGATTATGATAGTGCATTTAATTTCAAAATGAAAGCATTAACTATTGACAAAAAGACATGTCATTTAACAGAAAAAGAAAAAGAAGCAC